CGGCTCCACGCGGAGAGAAGCAGATCGGCATTTGAGAGAAAACCAACACTCCACGGCAGTTTTTTTTTTTTTTTTGCTCTCTTCGCACACGTACTTGAAAGGAGAAGGGTTATGTGGCAGGGAAAGGAAAGGGGATAGCGTGGCACCGGCGCATGAGAGACCCCCTCTTTCTCTCAAGGCGCAGAGCCAAGTTCCCACAAGGGGCAAAAGCTGCAGAAGATAGAGCCTTTTTCCTTTCCTTTAACTACACATTCAGTCAACCCAGCAACAGCTTTCTTTTTTTTTTCTTCTCTCTCTACATGCACGGTGTTGGAAGGAGAAGGGTTTTTATTACAAGGCAGAGACGGAAAAGGGAAAAGCATGACACAGGCACGTCACAAATCGGCATTTGAGAGAGGAAAAACATTCCACCGCAGCCTTTTCTTTCCTTTTCATTTCCTTCGCGGGCAGCGTTGAGGTGTCGCAGGTGCCGCTGCGGAATCGGGCGGGGTGCTCAGAGCATTTTCGGAGCGCGGTATGTTCGAATTAACCATCGCAAGTGCTAGGGCGTTTGAATTACCGGGCATTTTCGCCCATTGGAATGCACATAGCTTTGACAGGACCTCATCGTGAGTTCGAATTAACCGGAAGTTCGAATTAAGCGTGTTCGAATTAATGAGATTTGACTGTATAACAGTGGATTGCTGGAGGTTGAATTTTGCTCTCGACCGATTTGGCATAATCTTGTTTTTCTGTGGGTTATGCTAGCTCATGTTTGTGGCCGTGTGCGTGAGAACGACAAGCCGACATACTTGTAGGCAAGCATGCTTACAACTATGCCGGTCAGTCGCCAACGAAGTGCAACCTTTCTACTATATATGCGGCTCGCATGAGTCGATTGATTGTTATTTACAAATACATGACAGCCTATTTTATCGGATTCATAATTAAAAATTTGTCTTATGTTTTCGACTTCCTTACACCTAGTTTGCTTACTTTTTCTTGTATGCGGTTTTTCTTCACTGCTGTTTGTGCAAGACATTCGGCCTGGGACTGCACCTGCTAACAGCAGTGCACTTTCTTTGACAGGGCCCGGAGTGCATCATATGATCGTCATTATTCACGGAAGTTCATGTGAAAGCTTAAAGTGTTTTAAAAAGTCATTTGAAGCTTTTAAAATAAATAGAGATTGCTGCACCCCCTACTTACTACCTGCCGACCCCTTATTTGCTTGATATCTTAGTTGAAGCATACTACATTGTCAGAAAAGCCAGGCAAGTTGATGCTATTGAAGCATTAGACCTGCAGGGGCACAGGCAGAATTGATTTTTTTGTTTTTCGGGAGGAAGGATGGGAGCAGGGCAGTCTGGCGAATGGTCATTTCGCGCTATCTATGCCGTGGAGAAAAAGTATTTCAAGGGTGCACGGGCCAGGCGTGCAAACCCCTGGGTATGCCTGTGTACCAAGGAGTGTGTTCATTAAAGGCGCGATTTTGTCTGCATGCTATATAATAGAACGTTCACTCTTGTCATGCGCAATAAATAAAGCCTTGCATAAATGTAGTGCGTAGGTGGCACCCTTCACCAATCACCTGGGCGAACATTGTGTTAGTGTAGTGCAACTGGCAGATTTCTGGGAACCTCTATCAAACGTATGTGTGTCCAAAAGTGGCACACCAGTGGATGTCCACCGCATTTCTGTGGCCCATTGGGTACAGATACGCTGGCGTGGCTATAAATAGACGCTCCCTAATCTGACTTTGGTGCAGTTGGCGCAAATTCCTTTGATATTATTAGGATCGCACAGTCAATCTGACTTGGTGCACTTTGGAGCAGTTGGCGCTGGAGTGGGATCACAGTGATATCTTCTTGCTGATGGTGCTCGATGGTGTGTCAGCGGCCGCTCATTGCGAGCTGCTAGCATGTCATTGTTCATAGCCTTCTTCTTCTATGGTCGGTGCGCCCGCAGCCGCTGCTCCCATAATACGTATAACCAGCCTACTAAGACCCTTTCTGCAATGGTCACCTCAAGTGACCACCAACTTCGTTAACATGGTGCTCTCTACTTAACGAGTACAGTTCTTTATTTCTTAATTCCTTGGAATCAGTTGCTCATATAATATGCTCTCCTAAACTATTAACATAATAGGTACAGCACATACTTTTATATATATAAAAATATATCGAGCCAACTGTAAGGCCGGGCATGAGTTATGAACCGGGGCGTCATCGTCTTGGAACAGGGGGTGTACGAGTGTAGGCTTTACAGTTGCAATATCTCAGCCCGTTATGTTTAGGCTAACTGAACGAACCAGAGCTCAGTTATACTCTTGGGGGGAACGTGTATGGCCAGGGCTTGAATTACGCCGCAGAGCGTCATGGTCTACAGACAAGGAATAGATGGGGCAGATGAGAAATCACATTCTCCTCAGTGTCGGCTAATAAACTGTTTGCAGGCCCCCAAAACTCGTTTCCAGTAACTGAGGCCTTGCCTCATATACAAATAGGAGAATTGACTGCCTGCCTCCCCCCCCCCCCCCCCTGAATATAAGCACACTTGAGAGTCTGCCTGCATGCGCAAGAATAAGAAAGACTCGAGCCGGCGGACGTATTGGTTTAGCTTGGCAGTTCGTCGTAGAAGACGCCATTGTGTGTGTTTCAGAAGTGCGCTGTGGTCGGGTCACAACGAACACTATGAAAGCTTCGCGAAACAACCCTTTTGTTGAGCCGGGTTGAACAGCATGAGACGGTAGCACTGTTCCAGTTCCCATGAAGTCATCCTCACGACTCTGGTATTGTCACCTACGCGAGGTCGTCACAAAGCACTGACAGTTTGGAAGCGTGTGAAGGCGTCGCAGCAGCCGTTTTCCGGAATCAAGCACTTGGACTGCTGTGTTCGAGAGGGTTATGGATACACTGTAGTTCTGGAACTCTGTAGCTGAAAGCAGCCATGGACTGCTGCTGTCGTTCGTGTCAGCGGTCATCTCCCCGGAAGACCTCAACCTTCTCTCTCCGCCGGACTCTACCTCCTCACTCTGCGATGCCTTCAAGGCGTGGGCCGAGCGCGCCATTGTGTGGTACGCTCGGGAAAACCATTGGACATTCTCACCCACATTCTTCATCTCACGATGGCCCAATTTCTGCACCCTTTCTGGTTGGTGAACCCACTGAGACTGCACGTCCTCTGATTCGTGGCAACAGTGGTCACCTCCTTCTTTGGAGTGCCGTATAAGGAATCAACGAGCTATAAAAGCCGAAGCATTTTGTAAATAAGAGTGGAACCTGAGCTGAATCTCTGCTCGATCTCTGCACAGTTCTATCTTTCTGATCATGTAAATAAACTCTCTTCCCTCTCTAAGAACGCGTCTCCTTACTGGCAAAGTTCGGCTATGCGGACGAGGGTGCAGAGCCAGCTGCCCTGAAGAAAACCGCCGTACATTCTATCGACCTTCTGGCCCTAACAGCATGCGCTTTGCAAACACGAGCCACGGGCGCGGGTCAGAAGTCAGTTGGAGACTGGTGTCAGCAGCAGGGGAAAGCGTAACGTCATTCGCACTGAGCCAAACTGTTCTTTTCGTCCCTCATTTCATTCTCTTTCTACCACCCTGTGTTCTTCATTTGTAAACACCGCACAACGGGCCATGGAGGGGCAGTCCGTTCTGTAACCACGGGGTGGTAGAACGGCGAGGCTCTGTGCTGCGTACTTCCTCGCAGTGCCCCGGGCTCTAACACCACGTGTTGTGAAGAAGAGTGAGGGCCTCTTGGTTGCACCCATTATGAAGTGCAAATTGGTCTTCCTGCTTGTGATTACCCTATGCGAATGTAATATAGTTTGCTCATAATCATTAAACTGTCTCCTGTCGAATACTTCACCCCCGCTGAGCTACATCACCAAGGATCTTTCGCGTCAACTTCGTGGGAGAAAAAGAACCTTTACACCCACTATCTAGCGTGCATTGTGGACAACGATAAGCAGCTGTAAGAAAGCATACGTAACATATTGAAGCCCAAACGAAATAGTATCAGCTTTATCAGATTGTCGAAAGTTCCCAAAAATGCGACATTCAAAATTTGACACGCTGGGCTCACGTGTTTGAACAGGAAATAAATGAAGAAAACGTGGTCACCTTGGATGACCACATCGCTGGAAAGAGTTAAATTACAGTTGTCCTTTACAAGTGACACTGATATGACAGACACCATTGTGCCTACATTAAAATATGGATCTAAAAAAAGATGCATGTAAGGTACCCTGCTTATAAGAGACATCTAAAATGAAAACGAAAATTGCTGCCCGTAGCGCACCAGTTAAAGGGTTCAACTGCAGATTGTGAAAGTCCGATAGCTTCGAAAAAAGCCTGGATGGAATTCGGCAGGCCAGATCCAGGAGACTTCGCAGGTATGTGAATGACATTGCCGTCAACATGACAGAAGAGGCCAAATTGCCATCCTATTTAAATTTGCTACCTCCCTCAGAAGATTGGGGGGAGGACATATTTCTTACTACAGCACTAATTACACCACTAGTGTAGCAGCGTGAACCACTTTAAGGGAAACCTAACAGCAGGGACAGGAACAACAGCCCCTGTTGGGTATCAACATTGGTAATGTGTGCTCGTCTCTTTTTTTTTTTTTGCTTCAATTATCCCGCATGACAGATTCACATCAAATTCATGGCAATATTGCGAGGTGCTGCTAACTTCGATGAGCACTTAAGTGCACTTTAAAACTAAATTGAAATATATCCTAAATGAAACTTGTGTGCAACACTAATAATTTGTCAGAAGTGCCCACAGATACAATTAACACAAACATCTTGAAGCGTAAATTTTAGTGCCGTTGAGAATTTATTACAAACTACATGTTTTAATATAAAATAAAAAGGACATAATTGCTTACCTGGAGCTTGCCACAGATACAATTGATTAACACAAACATCTTGAAGCGTAAATTTTAGTGCCGTTGAGAATTTATTACAAACTACATGTTTTAATATAAAATAAAAAGGACATAATTGCTTACCTGGAGCTTGCCCTCATGGTTTTTGTGGATGACAGACAACTGACGGAATTCGCTGATCAAGCTGTAGCAGTGAGCAATGTTTTCTGGGGATACAAAGCTTTCAGCCACGTTTATAGAGCTGTGCAAGTTTAGGACCTGTGAAAGACAAAGATGAAATATTATTCACAAAGCCCTTAAGCACTTACGGGCACAAATTGCATTGAACACCATACTTGTGTGTGTATTCACAAAGTCATTAAGCACTTACGAGCACAAATTGACTTCAACAGCAGACTTGTGTGCAACAGCTAATGCCTGTTACTAAGATAAGCAAAAGCACTCGATCAGCCATAATTTAGAGTTTTAAAGGTACCTCCGTCATCTATTCCTGTCACACAAAACCAAATTTGGTATATGTTGAGTAGCGAAATGGCCGCGAGCTGAGATAGCGAAACGGCCGCGAGCTGAGATAGCGAAACGGCCGCGAGCATATGAGCGTAGCATGTAGTCATGTCTTACATGACACGCATATCATGATTATCGTGTTTGGACATGTCATTTACCTTCTGTCATAGACTTATCTTGGGAACGCTTGCGTCGGACGAAACAGAGAGTCTAGAGAGACGCGTGTGGCACAAACACTTTATAACCCAAGAGATAAAAGACAGAAAATCAAAAGCAAATTAACACTCACAGACACAAAATTACCCCAATAACAGTAAAAGCAAAATAGTTGGAAAACCAGTCTAAATCCATTCTTGGCCCTAGCCACTGCCCTTAACACAATAAGGCGTCGAACGATCTTACGTTTCACGTTGGTTTCTCTCCGACAACGTGTCTAGGTTCGTCACGTACGACAATAACTTTCTCCTAGCCCTCCTACAGTCCCTGTCGATTGGTACGCCAAACTAGCCGCTCGTAGTCCTCGCCAGCGTCCCGGACTTCGTGGTTTTCAACCTCGCTAGGCTAGGCTTAGCCTCATCATGGACTCTCCCGCTGATGCGTCCACTCTACTGACTGGTGTGGGCTGCTCCCGTTTTAATGTGATGTGGCGAAGGTGAAAGTCCACCAGGAACTGCTGGGCAGGATGCGACAAGTCCAGGCAGCCTCCGTCGGGACCATCTTTAAGGTCGACAGCCACTTCCTGAGCTCTTCGTGCTGACATCCTCAGAACCGGACGGTCATGCTGCTCCCGGCATGGTAGCGATGCTTGTTTCCCACGCCTTGGCAGCTTGGCACCCCAACACACAGTGCCAGCTCATCCACTGGAATGTTTTCTTCTTGGCTCAGGACGCGTGCCACGAGCCTTTCTCCGACCAATCTCTGGTGTCTACGTGGCTGGTGCGTATGCACTCGGGTGACTCTCCTCTCCAAGTGCACCGCCACCGCTCCTCCAAGTTGGGCACGTGTCTGGTGCCTCTCCTTTACTCATGTCGTCTATTCACGTCACGTAATACCAAATTTGGTGTATGTGAAGCCAGCAAAACAACTGCGAGCAAATCATGAGCGTGGCATGTATTCATGCTCTTACATGACACACATGTCATGATTATCATATTTTGGGATGCAAATCCCACTTATCTATCCATGATTATCATTGCACCAGTTACATACCTTTGTCATGCATTGACGTCATGTAACACCAAAATCGGTATATGTGAAGCTAGCAAAACGACCACGAGGCGCATGATGAGCGTAGCATGTAATCATGTTTTTCATGGCATGCATGTCATGATTATCATGTTCCGATGTGTCATTTGTCACATAATGAGCGTGGCATGTAATCAACTTGTTACATGACACACATCTCATGATTATCATGTTTGCACCAGTCACATACCTCCATCATCCATTCCCATCACGTAATACCAAACTTGGTATATGTGAAGCTAGCGAAACGGCCACGAGGTCATCATGAAGGAGGCATGTAGTTCTTACATGGCACGCATCTCATGATTATCATGCTTGCACCAGTCACACATCTTTGTCACCCATTGACGTCACATAACACCAAATTTGGTATATGTGAAGCTAGTGAGACCACCGTGAGCGCACTATGAGAGTAGCATGTAGTTATGTTGTTACATGACACACATGTCATGATTATCATGTTTGGACGTGTCATTTAGCTTTGTCGTACATTTAACATCACGTAATACCAAATTTGTATATGCGAAGCAAGCAAAACAGCTGTGAGTGCATCATGAGCGTGACATGTAGTCATGTTGTAACATGACACGCAGCTCATGATTATCATGTTGAGACGTGTCATTTACCTTCGTCGTTTATTCACGCCACTTGACACCAAATTTGTTATAGGCAAAACTAGCGAGATGACCGCAAGCACATTTAAGAGTGTAGCATGTAGTCATGTCATGTCAAGATTATCATGTTTGGACGTGTCATTTACCTTCATAATCTGTTCACATCATGTAATACCGAATTTGGTATATGTGAAGCTAGCAAAACGACCGTGAGCACATCAAGAGCGTGGCATGTAGTTAAGTTGTTACATGACATGCATCTCATGATTATCACGTTTCCACCAGTCATATATCTTCGTCATCTATTGACGTCTCGTAATACCAAATTTGTTATATGAAAACCTAGCGTAACGACCGTGAGCTCACCATGAGCGCATGGCATGTAATGATGACTTACATGACATGCATGTCATGCTTTTCACGTTAGAGTCTGTCACTTGTATTGCCATGCAGCCATGTCATACCATACCAGTTTTGCAACATGTCATGTGAACAAAACCACCGCAAGAGCGGCAAGACCATGAAACGTACATCACAACCCTCATAAAATACATGTCATGATTTTCATGTCATAACTAATCTCATATGCTCAACATACAGTCATGCTACGCCATACAAATTTTGGTATCGATACCATTACCAAAACAGCCAGGAGAGCTAAAAGTCGTAGGCAGCTGGATAGATAGATTCGCTCAAAATCGAAAAAGTTCGCTAAGAAATGCTTCACATTTAAAACAATAAAGCCATTTCGATCCGCAAACCATGCCTTTTGCTAAGTGTGCATCTTCACAGACATTCGCTGACTTGGAAGTTCGTCACAAGAGTCAGATGCTCTTCATATCTAGTAGAGTCAGACCCCTTTATAAGGAACACTGATGTAGTAGACCATAGAGGGTAAGAGACACCAGTGTGCTTACATTAAAATAGAAGTCGATTTGAAAATGCATGCGTAGTATCCCACTTTTACGAGACACCTCAAATAAAAGACAAGAAATGCTTCCCAGTGCATGTCTCTTATTAAGACGTTCAACTGTGAAGGGCTCATACGGTTTTACTTGCTCTCCATAGTTATCGAATTGCAGCTAATAGTAAAAGCACAGAGAACTAGATATTATACAGTTAAGCCTACTGCCAACAGAGACGCACCTTTCTCACATGCGGTGTCTCTTATGTGGTTCACATGCAGCCATTCATTATTCAAAAGGGAACCACCTAACTGCTCCATGATGTGAAAGGCCTCCCGATTAGACATATGTGTTCTGGCATTTCCCGAAGGCAGAAAACAAATTATACATTTTCGCCTTTCTCAATCTCGGCAAAGTAATGCAAAGTTTCAGATACATTAGTTTCAGATAGGCAAATTTGGTATTTTAAATTATCACTACAGCTGCTGACAGGTTAATCAAATGCTGTAAATTTGGAAGTATTTATGTGGATTATTCAGACACCTCTGAGACACTACCAATCAATGCAGTGTTGTAATCAGAGGTTCAACAGCCAGAACATTGAGCAACTTTTGGGTGCAGCAAAACGTTACTTTTAGAGCACTAAAATCCAAGTTTGGTGCAGTATGAAAAAGAAGCCTTTCATTTAGAGACAAAATATATCTACAAAACACACTACCCACATAAATTGCGCAGAGTGAACATGAGCAGAGCTAAACAAATAGTACTGTTTAGACGATGGCGTTCCAGGCGCTGCGATCAGACTCAACTCCGTCTTTAAGGTATAAGGCAAAAAACACTTGTTTATTTAACTGCGTTCGGAAGCGCTCTGCTGTCACTTGAGCGTCCCCGCGTCCCTCGCTTGCGCTCTTCTTCTTCTTCGTTTCCTTGTCCCAGCCCAGAACGTGAAAAATAATCAACATTCCCGGCCGCGCAATGTTAAACACATAGTTCAAGTGGGAACAGTCTTTGTATCGGCCTGATCGCAAGGCGACCGCCTTGCAACTTGATCTTGCAAGAACGAATGAGACCGTCTGCACGGTGGTACACTTCCGTGACCCTTACAAGCTTCCATAGCTGGCGTGGAGTGTTGTCCGCATGCACGAGAACGATGTTCCCTTGCTTCAATGCTGTATTTGATTTCGTGTCGGCAAAGTGTGCAGATCGTAGTTGCAACAAGTATTCTTTTTGCCAACGCTTCCAAAAACTTTCAACCAACGCTTCCAAAAACTTTCAACCAGCAGCTTCCTGTAGTTGTGTCTGCGTATGGCGTCTGATCGTTTGGAATTACTGTTGACTTCGTCAGCGGTCGCATACGGTATGGAAGTCAATCTTCGTCCAAGGAGAAGTTCGGCTGGCATCAAAGTGCAAGGTTCTCCTGCATCTGTCTCGATGAAAGTCAGAGGCCTAGAGTTTACGACTGCTTCGACCTCCGCCAGCACTGTCGATATTTCTTCGTAGTTCAGACGAGCTTTGCCGATAATTTTTCGCAGCGGAAGCTTCACTGATCGTACAAGGCGCTCCCACCATCCACCCCACCAAGGAGCATTTGGTGCTATAAACTTCCACGAAATTCCGTTGGTGCTGAGGTGACCAGCGACGTCCTCTTCAGAGAATATTCGGTTTAGCCACTGTATGTCTGTCGATGTCTTGTGAAAGCTTCGTGCGTTGTCAGAATAGATCACGCTAGGTAATCCTCTCCGAGCTGCAAATCGTCGTAGGCACAGCAGGAAAGCCTCGGATGTCACTTCCAAGACAAGCTCGAGATGCACGGCTCTAGATACGGTGCACGTAAAAAGTGCAACGTAGCACTTCGTGTCCCCTTTCTCCGTGCGTGCATACAGAGGGCCCGCGAAGTCGACTCCTACAACTTCGAACGGGTTCGTTGGTGTCACTCGATGACTTGTTAACGGAGCAGTCTCAGCAGTTCCTGGGCCCGCACTGAAAC